ACTGAGAATACATATTTGACAACAAACATATTGATATCAAAGCCTATTAAGATTATGTTAATAATATTGGACAAAGTGTTTTATGCTAAAGTACAATATTTGATTCAATTCTCAACACTCTACCTGAATTAAATATTTCTTACATTATAATTACAAAACAATACAAGTTGGAAACTAAGCAATGCCAAAAACTCCTTTAAAATATTCCAACTTCTGTGGAGTTACTGCCTTGGTAAAAACGTCAGCAACCATTTCTTTTGTTGAAAGATACTTCAAAGATATTTCATTGTTGTCAATTTTCTGTTTGATAAATTTGGCTTTAATATCCACATGCTTTGTCCTTGACGAATACTTGTTATTTGTAGCCACTTGTATAGCTCCTTTGTTATCACAATACAAAACCATGTTGACATTGTTGTTGGGATTGAGTTCTTTTTCTAGTCGTTTCAACCAAACAGACTCCTGTATAGCTGCAGTTATTGCCATGAACTCAGCTTCCGTTGAAGATAGTGCCACCGTTTTTTGTCTTTTTGTGGACCAGGATATTGCTGCTGATTGAAAAATAAAGACATAACCAGTTGTCGAATGGCGGTCGTCCAAACTTCCAGCCCAATCTGCATCGCAATAGCCGGTAATATCTTCTTCTAAATTTTTCTTATAGATGAGCCCTTGTTCTATAGTTCCTTTGAGATAACGCATTATTCTTTTTACAGCTTCCCAATGCGCTCTACCAGGATTTATTCCGAATCGGCTCAGGATATTCACAGCATAGTATATATCAGGGCGCGAAACCTGAGCAGCGTACAACAAGCACCCAATAGCTTCCATATACGGTGTTTTCGACATTTTTTCCTTTTCAACTTCGGTTTTAGGGGACATACTTTCGTATAACTTCTTATTATAGTCCATTGGAGTTGAGGAAGGGTTACAGTCATTCATTCCGAAACGTGTCAATACATCTGATATGTACTTAGACTGATCAATTTTGATTCCATCTTCAGTTCGGGATATTGTCATACCAAGAACATTAGACACTTCCCCCATGTCTTTCATTTTAAATGTTCTTGAAAGTGTATTCTTGACAGAATTTATTTCGTTTTCGTCATTGGAGAATATAATTACATCATCTACGTATATTGCAATATAAATCTTCTTTTCATCTGTCACCTTTGAATATACGCATTGATCCACTTCTCCTTGTACAAAACCCATATCGATAAGTTCCTTGTTTATGGTTTCATTCCATACTCTCCCAGATTGTTTCAAGCCGTATATGGATCTGTTAAGCTTACAGACTTTATTAGAAGCATCACGGAAACCTTCGGGTTGTTCCATATATATGGTTTCTTTTAAAATCCCGTTTAAATAAGCGCTAACGGCATCCATCTGATGAATCTTCATGTCATATTTTGCTGCCAATGCTGCTAAATACCTTATTGATTCATACCGAACAACTGGAGAGAATGTTTCCATATAATCGATACCTTCAGTCTGTGTAAATCCCTTTGCGACTAGTCTTGCTTTCCATCGCAACGTGTTTCCATTGGAATCTTGCTTGGTCTTGAACACCCATTTTGACTTCAGAGCTTTGCATCCTTCAGGAAGTTGAACCAAAGTCCAAGTATTATTGACTTTCAAAGAATTCATTTCATCTTGCATGGCTTTTTTCCAATGTTCAGAATCTTCAGACGACATTGCCTGTTTTATAGTCTGGGGGTCTGAAGAAACATATTCTATTGCAGAAAATGCCGTTGATCGTTGATTACGGTTTGCTATCCTTTCTGATCTTCTAATATTTTCAGACGTTGGTATTGGTCGTGAATTACATTGATTTGGTTCCCATTCTTCATCATTTGGGTCCACATAGCCATTGTTATCAAAACATTCTGAATCCAAAAACTCACTATCAGTTTCAGAATCACTACGAGGCTCATTTTGAATTACATTATTGCCATCCAATTCGGTTGACTCCATATTCGTTGATACATTATTCACTGTTTGGTTCAAAACATTATCCATTTCTTCATCTGGAGATTGAATTAGCAAAGGATTGTACAGATTAGAAGATGGCGTTTCAATGTTTGAGTGAACATTTTCAAGAAATACCACGTCACGGCTAACAATTATTTTTTGATCACTTGGATCAAATAATCGATACGCTTTACTTTCCGTGCTGTATCCAACCATGATACATTCTAATGACTTTGGATCAATTTTAGATCTTCGTTGTTTTGGTACATGGACCAAAGCTGGACATCCGAAGACTCTAAGATGCTTCAAATTTGGTTTTCGACCCGACCATAGTTCTTCGGGACATCCTTCATTTCCTCGGCATGGCACTCTATTTATCAAGTACGATGCGGTAGAAGCAGCTTCTGCCCAAAAACGTTGATCTAATCCACTGTCGATAAGCATACATCTTACCCTTTCTATAATCGTCCTATTTATTCGCTCGGCTACACCATTTTGCTCGGGTGTATATGGACATGTTTTTTGATGTATTATTCCACTTTTTTTCAAGAATTCAGAAAAATGTTTGCCGGTGTACTCACCCCCATTATCCGATCGTAGAATCTTGATTTTTTTAGAACACTGGTTTTCCACTAAAGCCTTGAATTCTAAAAATTTCGGAAATACCTCAGACTTTTTCTTGATTGGATAGACAAACAGTTTTCTTGAGTAGTCATCCACAAATGTCAACAAAAAACGAGCTCCCGAGAACGAACTTTCTTTTAGTGGACCAACAACATCCGAATGAATAATTTCCAATAGCTCTTTGGCTTGAGTACCGACTTCTCTACTCACTTTTCGGGTTTGCTTTCCCTTCACGCAGACAACACATGGTTCAGAACATTCTTTGCCAAAATTTATGCCAACATTTGCGCTCTTGACATCACCCAGTTTCGCATTACAGATATGCCCCATCCTTCGGTGCCACAAATTGAAATCATTGGCCATGGTAAAAGCTTTACCCTTTTCCTCTTTCGAATTGCATTCTAACCGGTACAATTGATTCTGCGCAGTTGCCGTTGCTATAACACGTCCATTTTTATCAGAAATGCGGCATTTTTCACCTTCAAAAGTCACCCTTTTTCCATTCTTAGCCATTTGTCGAACGGAGAGTAAGTTGGTACACAAATCTGGAACATACTCCACGTCTTTGATTGTAACACATCTCTTATTTTTTCCAGAGCCAACTTCAATATCAACATATCCAATGGAGTCCACTACGAGTTCATGCTTATTCGCAATAATCACCTTTTTATTAAAAACATCACGGATGTTGTACATGTGGTTCTTCTCATTCGTCATGTGGTTGCTTGCTCCACTATCAACGTACCAGGCATTTAAACAATCTGAACTTGAAGTGGATTCCGTAGCTTTTGCACACGCGCTCACATCGGTAGTTGTAGCAAATAAAACATCCGACTTCTTTTCATGCTTCCTTGTAGCTCCATTGTCATTTGGCTTCAATTTGCTGGGACAATTTCTTGAGATGTGTCCAAGTCCACTGCAATTGTAGCATTTGATTTGCTTCTTACCTTTCTTGATACCTTTAGATTGTAACGCCGATTCTTTTTCTGGAGCTCGATCGAATTTCGCATCTTGAAGTAGAACATTCTTCACCTTATCCACCGTCAATTTCTCCTTGGTATTTTCCACGGCCATCACAAGCGGTTTAAAGTCATCCGTTAATCCAGCTAACATTAGAGATGCAGTCAACTCATCGTCAATGTTTAAGCCAGCATTTTTCACTTTAATAGCCACTATAACGATGTCATTGACGTATTCCTGAATGGATCCATAGTTCTGTAGCTTGATGTTCACAAATTGCTTCAGCAATTCAACTTTTCTGGTAAGGCCCGTATCTTCGTACGCATTCATCAATGCACTCCAGGCATTTTTCGCGGTAGTTGAAGTTGCAATGTGGCCGTAATTGTCTGGTTCAATCATCAATGTTATCTCGGCTAAAGCTCTCGCATTCAATTCAGCATCAGCGGTATTATCAACACATGCCTTCCAGCACCCTTTAATGACCAGATATGATTGCGCTTGCCTCTTCCAAACATCAAAGTTTTCGCGTCCACGCAATCTTTCTAGCGGAAAAGCTATGTTATTACCAGCCATTTTAATTTTTTTTCACAAACGTCACTAGTTTTCAATATTAAAAAATGTATCTATTTTGTTTTGCCGAATATTTTTTTCAAACGTGACTAAGGCCCATAACCTGTTATAATTGAATTCGTTTATTGAACTGAAAAAAACTGAGAATACATATTTGACAACAAACATATTGATATCAAAGCCTATTAAGATTATGTTAATAATATTGGACAAAGTGTTTTATGCTAAAGTACAATATTTGATTCAATTCTCAACAGAATTTTCAGTATCATCAGCAGGGGATTAAAAAAATGATTATTTTCAGTTAAATTTCCCAAAGAAAATTTCATTTCCAAAAGAAATTTTCAATTCCCGCAACAAATTTTCAATTTCCATAGGAAATTTTCAATTGAACCCCTCCTGAGCTCCAATGTCAGGTTAAAAGAATTTCAATTTCCGCCAAAAAATTTCAATTTCCATAGGAAATTCTCAATTCAACCCCTTCTAAATTCCAATGCCATGTTCAAGGAAACCAAAAAAACCACATTTCTCGCCAGCGATTTTCGAAACGTTTTCTTATATTTTTAATTCAAGCTCAAATAACCATCTAAACAACATCCATTTGCTGAGGATGACGCATTCGAATGGCTGAGTGTAGCCTCTGTGACAGTTAACGGCGCTATTAAAATAAATTGTTAATTGAAATAAATTTAATTTGTTGCCGACCACAATCAAAAGAAATTATATCATTTCAAGTGAAATAATCGAATTAAGAATTGTGACAGATTCAGGACAGAAGAGCTTGACAGAGAGATAGGTCCGAACATAATTTTTACAGATAGAATAATAGAAAAATTAATGTTTTTTTCTCTTTCCCTCCCCTCCATCTCTTGCAGAGAAAACAAAACGAAGTAAAAACAACTGAAAATGCCGGCGGATACCAAGACAGCAAATGCCGCCGATGCGGATACCACACCCACAAAGGGTAAGAAGTCCAGTAATTCCAAGGCCGCCTTGGCCCGTGTTACCCTGCTGGATGGCAGCATCCTCGATGTGACCATTGATGTAAGTTGGTGACCCTAAAATCTAAACTCATTTAATAAAATTTACCCTCTTCTCTCTCTCCTACAGCGCAAAGCCAAAGGCCGTGACCTGCTCAACTCGATTTGTGCCGGTCTGAACATTGTGGAAAAGGATTACTTCGGCCTGACCTATGAAACCCCCACAGATCCAAGAAATTGGTTGGATTTGGATAAACCTGTATCGAAATTCTTTGGTACCGATCCATGGTCTTTGCAATTTGCAGTGAAATTTTATCCTCCTGAACCATCACAGCTGCAGGAGGACATAACCCGTTACCATTTGTGTCTGCAGGTGCGCAATGACATTTTGGAGGGGCGTCTGCCATGTACCTTTGTTACACATGCCCTGCTCGGCTCGTATTTGGTGCAATCGGAAATGGGTGATTACGATGCCAAGGAAATGCCCGATCGTAGCTATTTGAAGGATTTTAAAATTGCCCCCAATCAGACCATTGAATTGGAGGATAAGGTCATGGATTTGCATAAGACGCACAGGTGGGTAAAGGGGATAGAAGTTTTTCTATGGAAAACCCATTCAGCCGGGGCTCGATTGAAGTATTCCTATGGAAAATCCCATACGGCCGAGGCCAAAATAAAAATTTCCAATGGAAACCCCCATACGGCTGAAGTTTTCCTATGAAAAACCCCACACACAGCCGAGGCTGAATTGAAGTTTTCCTATGGACCGGGACTGAATTGAAGTTTCCCTATGAAAACCTCCATTCAGCCGGGTCAATTTAAGGCGAAGCTGAATTTAAGTTTTCCTATGGAAACCCTCATTCACCCGGGGCTTTTTTTCTTCCGAAGATTACTTTCCTCTATAGAAAAGTTCATCTCCCGGAGATGACTTTTCCTCCATTGAAAAGTTCATCTCCCGGAGATGACTTTTCCTCCAGAGAAAAGTTCATCTCCCGGAGATGACTTTTCCTACAGAGAAAAGTTCATCTCCCGGAGATGACTTTTCCTCCAGAGAAAAGTTCATCTCCCGGAGATGACTTTTCCTCCAGAGAAAAGTTCATCTCCCGGAGATGACTTTTCCTCCAGAGAAAAGTTCATCTCCCGGAGATGACTTTTCCTCCAGAGAAAAGTTCATCTCCCGGAGATGACTTTTCCTCCAGAGAAAAGTTCATCTCCCGGAGATGACTTTCTCTCCATAGAAAAGTTCATCTCCCGGAGATGACTTTTTCTCCATAGAAAAGCTCATCTCCCGGAGATGACTTTTTCTCCATAGAAAAGTTCATCTCCCGGAGATGACTTTTCCTCTATAGAAAAGTTCATCTCCCGGAGATGACTTTTCCTCGCCAGAGAAAAGTTCATCTCCCGGAGATGACTTTTCCTCGATAGAGAAAAGTTCATCTCCCGGAGATGACTTTTCCTCGATAGAGAAAAGTTCATCTCCCGGAGATGACTTTTCCTCGATAGAGAAAAGTTCATCTCCCGGAGATGACTTTTCTTCGATAGAGAAAAGTTCATCTCCCGGAGATGACTTTTCCTCTATAGAAAAGTTCATCTCCCGGAGATGACTTTTCCTCTATAGAAAAGTTCATCTCCCGGAGATGACTTTTCCTCCATCTCTCCCCGAGATGACTTTTCCTCTATAGAAAGTTCATTTCGAAGATGATTTTTTCTCCATAGAAAAGTTCATCTCGGTGATAACTTTTCCTCCATAAAAAAGCTCATCTCGGAGATGATTTTTCCTCCATAGAGAAGTCCGTCCCCTTAGAAGAAATCCGGAGCTTCTTTGGAACCTTATAGCTTTAGGAATTCCCCTTTTAACTGTTTGCTTGTTTATTCCAGAGGTCAACCCCCAGCTGAAGCTGAACTTCATTACCTGGAAAATGCCAAGAAATTGGCCATGTATGGTGTGGATTTACATCCGGCCAAGGATTCTGAAGGTGTGGACATTATGTTGGGCGTTTGTGCCTCCGGCCTGTTGGTATACAGAGACAAGTGAGTTGTGACAATGATTTTTCCAAAACTTATAAATAATTCGAGATTTTTTCTTCCAGATTGCGCATCAATCGTTTTGCCTGGCCTAAGATTTTGAAAATCTCCTATAAACGTCATCATTTCTACATTAAAATACGTCCTGGCGAGTTTGAACAACATGAGGTGACCATTGGCTTCAAGTTGGCCAATCATCGGGCCGCCAAGAAGCTGTGGAAATCATGTGTGGAACATCACACCTTCTTCCGTCTGATGACCCCTGAGCCACCAAACAAATCAAGTTTGTTCCCCAGATTTGGTTCGAAATATCGTTACTCGGGTCGCACTATGTATGAGAGTCGCAAGAATCCAGTGGATCGTGATGCTCCCAAGTTTGATAGGAGTTTGTCGGGTCGCCGCTTGACCTCGCGGTCAATGGATGGTAATTTACAATTTCATTTAAAGGAGAATTGTCATTAATTTTTCTTTTCTTTTGAAAATTAGCTTTGGCCCTGGCCGAAAAGGAGAAGGATGCCCAGAAACGTCACACCATGGGCCATCCCCCAGAGCACATACCCGATTTGGATTCGCCACGCAGTCGCAGTCCCTTGAAGAAGGACAAAAAGGATAAGGTAGGTTTTCATAGATATCCCCCAGGAGTCATAAAACTAACATCTAAGAAAAAATGTAATTTTCCAAGTTTGATTTTCTTTTCTGTTAACAACCGAAATATCTATGAAATTACTTAACAAATGGAAATCTTTGATTTCTTTTTTTCCCAATTTTTTTTTGGTTCTAAAATATTTTTTTTTCCAAAAAACAAAACGGTTTGTTTGACTACTAATCCATTGTGCCCGCCCCCTAATTCCCAACCCCTTGTTTTGGTTTTTATGTTATGAAATCTTGATTTCCTACTTTGGATAATCTTTCCCTGCACTTACACCCCCTCCAATCTCCAATACCTATCATACAAATGACTACAAAATGCATTCTACCAAAAAAAAAAACACTAACACCAACAAACCAAACAACATGATCACAATATGCCATCTTGTTTTTTTCTTTCTCTTCTACTACTCCTCTCTGGAAAATGCAAAAAAAAAATAAAACTTAAAAACAAATCATCAACAACATCCTTAATCCTTTGCCTGGCTACTACCAAAAAACACACACACACATATGACCATAACAACTACTACTACCACTACTATTACACCCATACATCCAACCATAATACACACATAAACTCTGTGCCAACTTGACTTCCGTTTTACCTACCTATCTACATCTGTATGTGTTGTTGTGCATCTGAAACTTCTTAGTTGATACGTGAATCTAGCACTGGTACTGCTTCGGCTTCTTCGCAGAGTTCCCTTGAAGGCGATTACGAGACAAATACCGGTGCTGCGGCCGATGCTGCCTCAGCAGCAGCCGCCTTTGTGGGCCATGATCAGGTTAACCAATAGCAAACGTTTTTTCTTTCCTTTTTGTATTCTTTGAAATGAAAAAAAAAAAACAATACGTAACTCTATTTTGTTTTTCTTTCTTCTATTTTCCCCCTCTTCTAAATGACACCGATTTTCTTTTTTTCCAACACCAAACACCACTGTCATATACTATTTCTGTCACTTCTTGATATTGTTTTTTTAATTTTTCCCTTTATAACATTTGATCTCTTTGTGGGCTTTGTTTCCTTTAGTATTATTTTGTATGGGTCTCTTTTTTTAGTTCTGTCCTTCGTAATGTTTTCCGTCTAAGCCTAAAGCCTTTTTGAGTTTGCCGTAGTTCGAAATTTCCTTGGTATTGCAGAGAGTAGTATTGGCTATATATAGGAAAGGTCATCATCGATGAGCTTTTTCTAAAGGAAAGATCATGTATATCCATGACTTTTTCCATAGAAAAGTATAGAAAATATGGAAAAGTTTCCATATAGAAAAGGTCATCCCGCAGATGTTTTTTTGCCCGTATAGAAAAATTTATCTCGGAGATGACTTTTCCTGTATAGAAAAGTTCATCTCGGAGATGACTTTTCCTGTATAGAAAAGTTCATCTCGGAGATGACTTTTCCTGTATAGAAAAGTTCATCTCGGAGATGACTTTTCCTGTATAGAAAAGTTCATCTCGGAGATGACTTTTCCTGTATAGAAAAGTTCATCTCGGAGATGACTTTTCCTGTATAGAAAAGTTCATCTCGGAGATGACTTTTCCTGTATAGAAAAGTTCATCTCGGAGATGACTTTTCCTGTATAGAAAAGTTCATCTCGGAGATGACTTTTCCTGTATAGAAAAGTTCATCTCGGAGATGACTTTTCCTGTATAGAAAAGTTCATCTCGGAGATGACTTTTCCTGTATAGAAAAGTTCATCTCGGAGATGACTTTTCCTGTATAGAAAAGTTCATCTCGGAGATGACTTTTCCTGTATAGAAAAGTTCATCTCGGAGATGACTTTTCCTGTATAGAAAAGTTCATCTCGGAGATGACTTTTCCTGTATAGAAAAGTTCATCTCGGAGATGACTTTTCCTGTATAGAAAAGTTCATCTCGGAGATGACTTTTCCTGTATAGAAAAGTTCATCTCGGAGATGACTTTTCCTGTATAGAAAAGTTCATCTCGGAGATGACTTTTCCAATAGAAAAGTTCATCGTAGATGACTTTTCCAATAGAAAAGTTCATCGTAGATGACTTTTCCAATAGAAAAGTTCATCGTAGATGACTTTTCCAATAGAAAAGTTCATCGTAGATGACTTTTCCAATAGAAAAGTTCATCGTAGATGACTTTTCCAATAGAAAAGTTCATCGTAGATGACTTTTCCAATAGAAAAGTTCATCGTAGATGACTTTTCCAATAGAAAAGTTCATCGTAGATGACTTTTCCAATAGAAAAGTTCATCGTAGATGACTTTTCCAATAGAAAAGTTCATCGGAGATGACTTTTCCAATAGAAAAGTTCATCGTAGATGACTTTTCCAATAGAAAAGTTCATCGGAGATGACTTTTCCAATAGAAAAGTTCATCGTAGATGACTTTTCCAATAGAAAAGTTCATCGTAGATGACTTTTCCAATAGAAAAGTTCATCGTAGATGACTTTTCCAATAGAAAAGTTCATCGTAGATGACTTTTCCAATAGAAAAGTTCATCGTAGATGACTTTTCCAATAGAAAAGTTCATCTCGGAGATGACTTTTCCTGTATAGAAAAGTTCATCTCGGAGATGACTTTTCCTGTATAGAAAAGTTCATCTCGGAGATGACTTTTCCTGTATAGAAAAGTTCATCTCGGAGATGACTTTTCCTGTATAGAAAAGTTCATCTCGGAGATGACTTTTCCTGTATAGAAAAGTTCATCTCGGAGATGACTTTTCCTGTATAGAAAAGTTTATCTCGGAGATGACTTTTCCTGTATAGAAAAGTTCATCTCGGAGATGACTTTTCCTGTATAGAAAAGTTCATCTCGGAGATGACTTTTCCTGTATAGAAAAGTTCATCTCGGAGATGACTTTTCCTGTATAGAAAAGTTCATCTCGGAGATGACTTTTCCAATAGAAAAGTTCATCGTAGATGACTTTTCCAATAGAAAAGTTCATCGTAGATGACTTTTCCAATAGAAAAGTTCATCGTAGATGACTTTTCCAATAGAAAAGTTCATCGTAGATGACTTTTCCAATAGAAAAGTTCATCGTAGATGACTTTTCCAATAGAAATGTTCATCGTAGATGACTTTTCCAATAGAAAAGTTCATCGTAGATGACTTTTCCAATAGAAAAGTTCATCGGAGATGACTTTTCCAATAGAAAAGTTCATCGTAGATGACTTTTCCAATAGAAAAGTTCATCGGAGATGACTTTTCCAATAGAAAAGTTCATCGTAGATGACTTTTCCAATAGAAAAGTTCATCGTAGATGACTTTTCCAATAGAAAAGTTCATCGTAGATGACTTTTCCAATAGAAAAGTTCATCGTAGATGACTTTTCCAATAGAAAAGTTCATCGTAGATGACTTTTCCAATAGAAAAGTTCATCGGACATTACTTTTTCGATAGAAAAATTCTTCGGAGATGACTTTTTCCATAGAAACGTTCATCGGAGATGACTTTTCCAATAGAAAAATTCATCGGAGATGACTTTTTCGATAGAAAAGTTAATAGAGATGACTTTTTTGATAGAGAAGTTCATCGGAGATGACTTTTTCGATAGAGAAGTTCATCGGAGATGACTTTTTCGATAGAAAAGTTCATCGGAGATGACTTTTTCGATAGAAAAGTTCATCGGAGATGATTTTTTCGATAGAAAAGTTCATCGGAGATGACTTTTTCGATAGAAAAGTTCATCGGAGATCACTTTTTCGATAGAAAAGTTCATCGGAGATGACTTTTTCGATAGAAAAGTTCATCGGAGATGACTTTTTCAATAGAAAAGTTCATCGGAGATAAGTTTTTCAATGGAAAAGTTCATCGGAGATGACTCAATGGAACTTCAGAATTGAACTCTTTCATGTATTTTTCCGCCTTCAGTTCGATTTCGGAATTGTCTTGTCATTATATCTCTTTCGTTTCTCTATTATTTCCCTTTAGTCGGCTTTTTAGTTTTGCCTCAGTCTTAGTTTCGAGATCATTCTTTAAACGAAAAAAACTAAATTTGAATTATTGTTGTTTAAACAGTTTACATTGAAATTTACATAAATGTTTTGTTTTTTCAATATTTGTTAATGTTTTGTGTTTTGTCCTTAATTCATATAACTTAATGTTTATTGTTTCCATATACACTTTGAAAATGAACAGTAATGTATTTAAAATTTTTAAATAAATATTTAAAAATTATAAATTTCCAAAAAAGAAAAAGAAAAATTTAATTTTTTTGAGATTTTTTCCATTGATAATTATTTGAAATGCAATTTTTCCCTAGAGACTTTTGGTCCAACCTTCATCAATTGGGATCAGCAATAGTTGTTTGGATCCAGTTGGAAACTATTCAAACTATATTTTAAGACTTTTGTGAAATGATATCACACAAATGCTTACAACGACATTTGTGTCCGGGTTTTGTAAAGGACTGTTAAAAGGTCCTTTGGAGTTAAAATATTATATCAATATTACAATTATTTGAATCCCTCATTAAACACCAATATCCTTATTGTTGTGTCAACATATGGTTGATGATGAACTGATTCTCATTTCTTGGCATTTTTACTGCGCCTGAAAGTATGCTTTGTTTTTATTGGCAACCTCAATGCTATTTGATATTAAGGGATATTTTCAGTGTGACGCTACTTAAGTGAATAAAAAACACCATTTCAAATAAGTTTTAACATAATTTCGATTTTTTTTCAGTTAAATTCAAAATTTGAAAATTATATTTGGAATGGTGTTTTTCTGTCACATTTACCCTTAAGATTTTTTTTAAATTATTATCAGTTTTGATATTAAATCACTTTTGTTCAAATATCTTTTCAACTACTGTTCATTTTCAAAACTGTGACTTTTGTAAATATTTTCCAAAACGTACATACATACCTACCACATAGATATCAACTCCGTTCAGCTCCAACCTACTTGATATATATTTCCTCACAACGAATATTACATTTTATCTCTTCTAACTATCTATATCTTCTACACATATTCTACATATTTTATCGTGCCTTTCATACCTCTAGGATTTGTGTGAAATATATCCGTTTGTTGTGTAATTGGCTAAAAATAAATGAAATGATATTGAAATGTGAAGAAACAAAAAAAAAAAAATGAATCCTGGCAAAATTTTATCCACTACCCAAAAATCACACATAACACCACCACTACCACAAAATATCCACTCCTCAACACAATATATGTCACTCATCACCCCGCCCACCCACTCTCACCATAGAGAATCCCCAATTCCAAATTTCATTTCTACACTCAAATCACTCTGTAAAAAAGACACACAAATCCCAGTTGCAGTATTATTAATGGATTTTTTAATTATTATTGTTACTATTATTGAAAAAAAAAAATAAATAATTTATGTTTTTGTGCGAAAAAGAAAGGAGAACGAGAGAGAGAGAATTGAAGTACTAAAGAGATGTTCCAATGTTGTAAAATTTGACAAAAACGATTTTAGTTCATACTTTTGATTGATTGTTAGTATTAAAGTGGCGCCCAACGTGCCTCTGTTTTTTTTTTTTTTTTTTGAAAACCACAGTAATAATCAGCTTTTCTTGGGTCATAGGAAAAAATACCACACTTTTTTATACCCTCAGCCATATGGCTAGAGAGGGAGGGCATATATCATTTGAAGCGGCCAAAAAGTGCCTCATCGAAATTTGACCCTAGGACTCTTTGGGCCAAATTCGTTTCAGGTCATTTGGAGTCGATTTAGTGATGTCCGTATGGATAATCTGATTTTCCTCCAGTTTTGCAAATCCTGATATTGCATCAGTGCTAGGTAAGGCGTGAAAATGGACAATATTGGTTCACTCCATCAAACACCTCCTCCACAAAGGGTCAACATTTTGAATAATTGTAACTCTTATAAAATGTGATGTAAGAGTCCGATTGTTGATTGATTATACACATCATAATATTTTTATAAACCCAAGGTCTGATGTGAAGATAGAATATATCGGTCCACTCCTTCTTGTACCTCCCCCACTAAGGGTCAAAATTTTGAATATCCGTGACGCCCATAAAACGCGAAATTTACATCCGATTCCATTAAAACTTGACAAATCTCAATATTTCTATCAGCACAAGATCTGTTATGAAAATAATAGAGATCGGACCATTCCTTCTGGTACCTTCCCACAAAGGGTAAACATTTTGAATAACCTAAACGATCGTAAAATCCGAAATATGCATCCGGTTCTCTCCATATTTCACAAATTACAATATTTTCATTAACCTTAGGTCTGGTGTGAAAGGGTTAACATTTTGAATATCCATGAAGCTCATAAAACGGGAAATTAACATCCGATTCCATTCAGACTTGATACATCTCAATATATCTATCAACACAAGATCTGTTATAAAGATGGTAGAGATCGGACTATTCCTTCCGGTACCTTCCCCACAAAGAGTTCAGTTGATTCGATTCCTTTCAGTCTTGGTACATCTCAATATCTCCATCAGTACAATCACAATATTTTTATAAACCCGAGTTTTTGTGTCCATTCCTTCTGGTACCTCCCCCACAAAGGGTCAAAATTTCGAATATTCGTGAAGCTCATATAACGCGCAATAAGCATCCGATTCCATTGACAAATCTCAATATTTCTATCAATTACAAAAAAATAACTATTTTTCCTCTCTCGCTCGATTTTCTGTTCTCTCTTGTCGTTTTGTCTAACTCAAAAAAGCTTTTAGTTTTGTCATATCTTTACGAAATTAACAAAAAAATTCTCTTAAAAAATCTCAAATATGTTTGTCTTTCATGTTTCCATTTTCCATGTAAGCTGTGCGCCATGCATGCCTTAAAGCTTTTTTGTTCTACTCCCTAAGTTTATTTACAAATAATGCAGCTTGCAACTATTTTTACAAATGCTTTTTTTAAAAAGTAGAGCTTTATATAATTTTTTTTTTATGTGACAAATTTATATTTCAAATACAAAATCAAAACTAAAGGCTGCCGCTGAAGCTGAAAAGGAAGCTAAATTGCGTGAAAAGAAACAGAAGGAACAAGAGGAAAAGGAACGCAAGGAACGTGAAAAGAAGGAGAAGGAAGCCAAGGAGAAGGCTGCCAAGGAAAAGGCTGCCAAGGAGAAGGCTGAAAAGGCTGCCGCAGCAGGGGCTGGCATGAATGGTAAGTGTTTATTAAATTTTAAATGTAAAGAAGTGATTTTAATTTTGTTTTCTTGCTTCAGGCAATGATGATTTGGATGATTCCCAGAGATCTGGCAAGCAAAGGGTAAGTTGGCAGTTTAACATAGTTCCTATAAATATATAAATATTTGTAAAAAATTCTCCTCTAAATGGCTATATGTGTGTCCCTCTTGAACACAATTCATTTGTCCCTTACCATGCACAATTGAATGGCATGTTTGATCAATCCCCCGAGAAAGAAAATGTTGCTGATAATCCTGGAATGATAATTTGTTTATTTTTTATTTCAATTATTGGAATTTCTTAATTTTGCATTCAACTTTTATGACTTTTTATTTTTAAAAATTTAAATTAATTTAAAAAGGAAAATAGTTATTTTGTAATTATGAAAAGTGGGGCGCAATATGAGCAATGTTCTAGAATAAGATTAGTTTTAGATTTTTTTTTAACAGAAATTAACGAGTATTCTAAATAAAATGGCGCCCAACTTTTTTTTAGAAGCATCAACAGTTCTTGCGTTTACCAAGTGGCGCCCAATGTGAACAATGTTCTAGAACTTCCATTGCTAAGTGGGGAATAGGAATAATTTTAGGGATTTTTTTTCCACAGAAATCATAGAGTATTCTAAATAATATGGCGCCCAACGTATTTTAAAAGCATCAAATTTTGTTTGCGATTATCAAGTCACGACCAATGTAGCAATTTGTAGTTTTTTGTCTGGTTTTCAAAATATATTCAAATTGAATACAATTTTCACAAAACATTTTCAATGGCCTTTCGAGGTCTTTACAATTGGCAAAGAAGATTTGAATAGGTCTCAGAGGCGTTTACGTTTTTCACAGAAAATTTACAAAGGCCTTTCGGTACATTTACACTTTTCTTTGAAATACCTCAGAGGTCTTCACAATTTTTATAGAAAATTTTCAAAACCTCAGAGGCTTTTACAAGTTTTACACAAATTTCCAAGGTCTCCCAAAGACTTTACAATTTTTATGGATAAATATTCAAAGGCCACTCGAGACCTATTAAAATTTTTATAGAAAAAATATACAGAAGCCTTTGGAGACTCTACAATTATTATAGAAAATTTCCAATGGATTTCCGGGACCTTAAACTTTTTATAGAAATGACTGAAAATCTACACAATTTTTAATAGAAGAGTTCCCAAAGCCTTAGGGGCGTTTACGATTCTTAGAAAAATGTCAAAAGTCTGTGGACATTTTTTCTGAAAAATTTCAGAGGCTTTAGGTCATTTTAGAAGATCAACCTTTATTTTGCCATTATTAATGTTTCAAGGAGACACCCAATGTTTAAAATCTTAAAAAAAAAACAAATTTCAAAACTTCCACTGATAAGTGGGGAATAAGTCATGATTTTTTCAATGATTTTCCAAGTGAATCATAATTTTGCGATTATTTTAAACCCATGTACAAATTGAAATTAATTTCAAAGGTCAATAGCTATTTTGCAATTATTAATGTTTCAAATGGCGCCCAATCTAAGACTCAATAATTACCAAAACGTCATTGCAGTCAGTCAATTTCATCGTTGATTTCTAAATCAAAAAATAAATAGTTTTCAGAAGATCCATTTTTAGATGTTTGTCCAAGTGGCGCCCAATGTAGTAATTTTCACCGCCAATATCCAAAAAAACGATGCCGATGTGCCTCACATTTGTGTGGGTTCTATGCTAATTAAATACAATGACGGCCAAAGTTTTTTAAGAAATTTCAAATTTGTTAATGATTTTCTAAGTGCCGCCCACGTTTAAATTTACCACCAATACGTGGAATATGTGGACTTGCCATTCAAATAACATCGCCTTTGACATGGTGCCTCACCACAGGCGAAACGTGTCGACTTTTGGTGGACATTGGAAAAGAAATCAATTCTATATGTTCCCAAATCATAAAGCATCTATGATAATTAAAAAAAATGGTGCCCAACAATTTTTTCAGAAACTATGTTATTTAAGTGATCATCAAAGTGGCGCCCTCGTCACAGTTTACCACTAAATTTCTGTAACATTTTTTAAATTCTCAATTATTTAATCATTACCCAAGTGGCGCCCAATATAGCAATTTGTAGATTATTTGTCATATTTTCAACGTATATGCCATTACCGTTAAGAGCTTGTCTCACCTAAGTTCCCAACGTAGTCGATAATAATTTTTCTAAAATCTTAAAACTTCCATTGCTTTTAGGAAGCCCACACTTTGCTTCCGACTTCTTAAATCAAATGGCGCCTGACATTTTCGAGCAATTCCAAGTTATTTAAATAGTAATTATCAAAGTGGCACCCAATATCAAAAATTTCTATGCCATTTTTTAAATGAATTTCCCAAATATTGAAATAATATGCAAGTGGCGCCCAATGATATAATTTATCATCAACATATGTGTGGACAATATTAAGATGCTTCAATTATTATGAAGTGGCGCTTAACGTGGCCTTACGTTATCAACAATGTGTGTTGATTTTCTATCAAAATTTTAATACCCAAAATATTGAAATGTTAATTCAAATGGCGCTGAAGATGGCAATTTATCACTTGCCTATTTCCAGCAGCATATGAATGTGAAAAATATCAAGTGGCGTCCAACGAAAATTCCAAATTATACAAATTTTAATTCAAGTGGCGCCCAAGGTTTTCGCCTTAATCCGCCGCATATATTTGAAAATATAAAGTAATATTAATTTTTATCCAAGTGGCGCCCAACGTGGCGCTGTGCTATATAAAATCCCAAAATTAAATGGCGCCCAACGTGGTAATATACCCTCATATTCCCTCATATGTGAGGATTTTCTGTAAATCCATGTGTTAAAACCTCAATATATAAAGTTGAAATCAGATCTAAATTTGTTAAAAAAAAATCGGTTACGAAAGTTCTGAGTTTCATATTGTAGTCCAAATTATAATACCAAACCCAATATTTGGAAAATTTCCATTGCTCTGCATTCAAAGATCTTGTAACCAAAAAGAATCCCTGAACCAGAACCTGTATTTCGGATATCGTCTCATTTGTAATTACATATTTAATTTTATTTGTTATAATAATTATAACTTTATATATAATTTTATTTTTAATATATTTATAATTTTCAATTTTTATTTTTTTATTTTTTTGTTAATTTTTATTTTTTTCTTTTTATTTCATTTTTTTTTCATTTCAAATCTTCATCGATTGATCATCATTCACAATGGATTTTGCGAATGTTTAGGGAGGTGGTTTATTCTCTTCGGGTCGCAAGAGCAAGAGTGGTTCACCAGGCAAGGATGGCAAAGATAAGGCTGGCAAGGATAAGGATGGCAAAGATAAATCCGGCAAGGATAAGGATGGTAAAGACAAGAAATTGGGTCAATTGGAATTGGTTAGCACAACTGGAGTGGGTTCTGGTGCCGATGGCACTGGTAAGGATCAGGGAGATAAATCACGTGATTCCAAATCACAAGGTTTCACCAAACCCTATGAATACACCGATGGTGATGGTGAGACAAGTCCCACACGTAAATCCTATGTACCCGGTGGTTTCCGTTATGATCAAGATCCAAGTGGCGCCCAACGTGGCCGTGATGGTCAAGATCAATTGTCGCCAACATCACAACAAAAGAAAATCGGTTTGGCATTCAATTATGCCCCCGGAAATGAAGAGGATTTGAAGAAACAGGCCGAAAAATTGAAATCTGGCCAGTTGTCGCCACGTACCCGTGACAAGTTGAACAAGGGCCAATTGTCGCCACGCACAAAGGCCAAGTTGCTGAAGGAGGCCAATTTGTCGCCAACCACAAGAGCTAAATTGCAAGGTAGTGCCGTGGATGCTGCTGCCCAGCCATTGAGTGATGCCCAAAAGAGATCCTATTCGCCATCGAAGAGTCCCACACAGGGTTATACTTCCGGGGCTCCGGGTAGTTATAAGCCCTTGGTGGATCCCACATTGGCCTTCTTGGAATCGGAAAGATATAATAAGGAACCAGGTTATACAGGTCCCGATGGTAAGGGTGTGGGAGCTGGAGCTGGAGCCGGTGCTGCTGGTGCTGGCGCTCTTGCAGGTGCTGGTAAGGATGGTGCCGGCAAGGATGCCGCCGGTAAAGATGGACGTGCTGGCACAGCTTCTCCCAAAGCTGGCAAATCACCCACCACCCCTGTTTCTCCCACAAAGGCTGGTGCTGGTTTGGCAGGAGCTGCCGGCGCTGCTGGTGCTGCTGCTGGTAAACCCAAAAAGAAGCGTGTCAAGATTATGGTCATCACCTCCAAATTTGATCCCAGCAACAAGAGAATCGATGCCGAAACTGGCACTGTGGATCATTCCACTGGCATTTTGGACCCCACCACCGGATTGATTGATACCAAATATGGTGTTATCGATCCCAAGAAGGGTACCCTGCAGGCTTTGAATACCAAAACCGGCAAGAACGAAATCTATCAGGGAGAGGTTGATCCCAAGACCGGCAATTTGCATTTGGTCCAAGGTGTGGCTGATCCTGCCACAGGCCGTGTCGATGAGACTTTGGGTCAGATCTTTGCCATTACCCCACAAGATGATCCCGTTGTGGAATTGACCGTCATTACCAGCCGCATTGATCCTGCCACCGGCAAAGTGGATGCCGTCAATGGTGAGGTGGAACGTTCCTTGGGTGTTTTGAACATGGATTCCGGATTGTTGGATACCAAATATGGTGAAATTAATACCAGAACTGGAGAATTGAAGACCATCGATCCCAAGACCGGTAAAATGGTGGTGTCCAAGAATTTGAAGGTCGATCCCGGCACTGGACAAATCACAATTTTCGGTGTCATGGATCCCAAGACCGGAAAGATCGATCAAACCCAAGGTCGTATTATTGAGGTGGGACAACAAATCGATCCCATTGTTGAGGTTACCTCCTTGGCTGGCAAATATGATTCCAAGAAGAATGTCATTGATCCCAAGACCGCCTTTGTGGAAACATCCGGTGGCCAATTCGATCCCAAGGCTGGCAAGATTGATACCAAATATGGACAAATTGATTTGGTCCGACACACCATTACCTTCACCGATCCCAAGTCGGGTAAAACTGTTACCCGCGACATTAAAATCGATCCCACCACAGGACAAATTGTGCTCAAGAATCAAATCAATCCCAAGAACAACAAACCCGACAAAGATTATGCCCGCATAATTTCGCTGCGCATTGTCCAGCAACGTGTTGATCCCAAGACCAAGGCACCCATTAGCCAGGTTAGCTCGGCCAAGGACAAGGATATCATTATTGATCCCAAATCCAATCAAATTTGGATGCCAACTGGCGCCGTTGATCCCAACACCAAGGAGCCACAATATGTGTCGAGCAGTGTTGATCCCAAGACCGGCTATGTCATTACCATCTATGGTTATCTCAATCCCAAGACGAATGAAATCAAGAAACAAACCAAATTGGATCCCAATACCACGAAAATTGAACCCACCTCCGGAAAGATTTACACCGCCACCGGTGATGTTGATGCCGCCACTGGTGAACCCCTCTATGCTGCCACCCAGGTTGATCCCGAATCCGGTGAAGTCTACACCAAATTGGCCCGAGTTGATCCTAAGACTGGCAAAATTGTTATTGTTCGCATTTTGCTTATCTCTAAGGTCGATGAGCGAGGCCGTCCCGAGGAGATTGATCCAGAGACATGTGAAATTGATCCGGTTTCCGGACGTGTCCTTAAATTCTTTAACAAAACCGTTTATGTTTATAATATGATTGATCCCGTTACTGGTGAAATTGTACAGGTTGACCCGAATGATCCACGATTTGCTGGTGCTCGTACTACCGTCACCCACACCATGACCTTGACTGGGGAGATTGATCCCGTCACTGGACGCATTAAAAGTGAATATGGCCACATTGATCCCAATACTGGAGACATTGATCCTGCCACAGCCATCAAGGACCCGGTGACCGGAAAATTGATTTTGAACTATGCCCAAATTGATCCATCCCACTTTGGCAAACAGGCTCAAGTTAGTACAACCACCGAAACTGTGCCCATTACCCGGGAACAATTCTTTGATGGTGTCAAGCACATGGGTAAGAATGCCTTGCGTCGTGATTCGGAGGCCAGCTCGGAAGATGATATGACTGGAAAATATGAATCGGAAATTGTGAAAGATGTTGTCATGTCCTCGAGTCCAAAGAAGAGTGCAACCTATAATTTGGGCAAACATGTCAGTACCCCGACGGTGGTGAAGACAACCACAAAACAGGTGTTGACGAAAAACGATGATGGTGTAACGCATAATGTGGAGGAAGAGGTGCGCAATTTGGGTACCGGCGAGGTGACATACTCTACACAGGAACACAAGGTGGGTGTGAGTAAGAAACTCCGAAAAAAGAAAATTAAAATTTTGAATAACAAGAATATTTGTTAGTTAATAATTTTAGAAGAGCTTTTTGTTAAGTAGACCAATTGCTAATGTCAGTGGACTTGGTTATAAAGAGCTATTAAGGATCGAATTTATTACATTTGTGAAAAAAGAAATTATCGTAGACTTAACCCCGTCAGTTTGTTATAACCGAGTCCATTAGCTATTTTAGTTTTAAATTTTGCTATATTAGAACATTTTATTTGAAGTTTTAAATTTTATTTTTTAAGTTTGGCCATTTTTGAATTTTTGCCTTAAGTTTGCATAGCATGATTTGCCCCTAAAACCTTGCATAGAACCCTTTATTTTATGCATATGAATGTTTGATAGTTATTATTATCAAATCAATATTTTAATGTAAAATTATATATAAAGGACCTTGTAGGATCCTTTATATACGCCCACAGACTCTTGAGTCTTTACATGACAGAATCCTGTTTGCTACTTTACCCTTGAGCTCGAATATCCTATCCATATAAATATCCCTCAAGGCCATATAAAAAAAGAAAAGCCCTGGCCGAAGAAAGGCTTCCTTACTCTTCAACTGCTCTGTGATATTTTCTTTAAGCTGCCTGGCTCTACCCCTTTAGCTTTTCTTGGAAAGGCTCTCTGGCCCTTCAGCTTGTCTATGATAGACTTTATGGCCCTATAGTTCGCCTCTAGTAACATGGCTTTGATAGGCTTCTTCAGCTCTTTCATAGAGACTTGACTAAGATTTTCTACCTTACCCCCCATCTCTTAAGGCCATATAAAGAAAGTCCTGGCCGAAGAAAGGCTTATTTACCCTTCAACTGCTTTGCGATATTTTTTCTAAACTGTCTGGCTCTACCCCTTTAGCGTTTCGTTGAAAGGCTCTATGGCCCTTCAGCTTGTCTATGGTAGACTTTAGTCAGGCTTTCATTCAGGATTTCGTTCCCAGTTTCTGGTCATGACAGCCTTTTTTACTGTTATAGTCTACCTCACCCTTGAGCTCGTATATGATAGAATCTATATCCCTCTGGGTCGTCGAAAATGGACTAATTGGCCGAAGATATACTTCTTTATCATTCAGCTACTTTACGACATACTCTACCTTCAGTCCGACCAGCCCTTTAGCCTTTCTTTGACAGGATTCATGGACCTTTAGCTGGTCTATGATACAATTCTAACCCCATACATCACCTCTAGGAAACTTAGCTTCATATTCCTGAACCGGTATATTATAAACTCTCTGACCCTATCTTTACCTCCTTTATAGAGACGCCCTTAAGCCTGGCAGTAAAGAGATAATATTCAGCCAGGCTGTAGAGATACCCTACAGCCAGAGAGACGTTCTCCGTCTATAGATACGATCTCAGGCTTGTCTATAGGGACGATCTCTGTCTCGTATATAGAGACAATCTTCTGCTCGTCTATAGATATGAACTCCGGCTCGTCTATAGAGACGATCTCCGACTCGTCTATAGAGACGATCTCCGACTTGTCTATAGATACGATCTACGGCTCGTCTATAGAGACGATCTCCGGCTCGTCTATAGAGACGATCTCCGGCTCGTCTATAGAGACGATCTCCGGCTCGTCTATAGAGACGATCTCCGGCTCGTCTATAGAGACGATCTCTGTCTCGTATATAGAGACAATCTTCTGCTCGTCTATAGATATGAACTCCGGCTCGTCTATAGAGACGATATCCGACCCGTTTATAGGGACGATATCCGACCCGTCTATAGAGACGATATCCGACCCGTCTATAGAGACGATATCCGACTCGTCTATAGAGACGATCTCCGACTTGTCTATAGATACGATCTCTGACTCGTCTATAGAGACGATCTCCGACTCGTCTATAGAGACGATCTCCGACTCGTCCATAAAGACATCCTTAAATTTGACTAGAGAGTCTCACTCCAATTCGTCTAGAAATACGTCTAAAATGACTTCCTTCAACTCGTCTAAAATTATATCCTTCAGTTCGTCAAAAAAGACCATTCGGGTCGTCTATAAAGACTTTCCTCGAGTCGTCCATAAAGACTCCCTCCAACTCGTCTAGAAACATTCCCTCCAGTTCGTCTAGAAAGACCCCCTTTGAATCGCCTATAAAGACTCCCTTCCGCTCGTCTATAAAGACTCCCTTCCGCTCGTCTATAAAGACTCCCTTCCGCTCGTCTATAAAGACTCCCTTCCGCTCGTCTATAAAGACTCCCTTCCGCTCGTCTATAAAGACTCCCTTCCGCTCGTCTATAAAGACTCCCTTCCGCTCGTCTATAAAGACTCCCTTCCGCTCGTCTATAAAGACTCCCTTCCGCTCGTCTATAAAGACTCCCTTCCGCTCGTCTATAAAGACTCCCTTCCGCTCGTCTATAAAGACTCCCTTCAGCTCGTCAATAAAGACTCCCTTCAGCTCGTCTATAAAGACTCCCTTCGAGTCGTCTATAAAGACTCCCTTCGAGTCGTCTATAAAGACTCCCTCCGAGTCGTCTATAAAAACTCGCTTCAAATCGTATCCCTTCCCTTCAGCTCGTCAAGAGAGTCTCTTTTCAGCTGGTCTAATAAGGCTCTTTCTTCTGAAAAGACTCCCTCCAACTTGACCCTAAGTACCCCCATTTCTAGTCCCCTTTTCTTCCCAGAATCTTGAAAATTGTATTAGAAAAGCTTGGCTCTAATTCTTATTATGCTATTGAATAATCCTACTAGTACCAGTTATATCTAAAACCAGATCATAATGTTTATTTTTAACCCATTTATTTAACCCATATATGTTTTTGTTTTATTTTTTTCTTTACCATTTCATGTCCTTCTTACCCAACCACCTTTAATATAATTAATTTTATCAATGTTTAATATGTTTGTGACACATTTTTGATAATCCTTTTTGAAACCAAATGTTCTGACAATGCTGCACGTTGCACTAAAAACCGAAATTCCAACAAAATTTTTGCAACCCCCACATCCCTGAATTGGCCATAACCTCAAAATGAAAAATCGAAATTACCCAGGCTGATGCCCCAGCTGTTGATTTGACAAGTGGTGCTTATGTTACCGCCACTGCGGTAACAACACGTACTGCCACCACCCACGAAGATTTGGGCAAAAAAGCCAAGACCGAACAATTGGAAGAGAAGACCGTGGCCACGACACGAACCCACGATCCCAATAAACAAGAACAACGAGTGGTTACCCAGGAAGTAAAGACAACAGCTACAGTGACAAGTGGAGATCAGGTAAGCTAAGCGAGGAGAGAGAGATGGAAATGGAAATTGTACTCCAAACTGGCAGCAAGCATGACTGACCTGTTTTTGTTTTTATTTTTTTTTAATATTTTTTGTTTGATTTTTGATTTTTAATGCCTGTCTTTTTTGTGTTGTTGTTATCTACTTTTTATTTGTTGTTGTTAATGTTATAACGTTGTTGTGATATGCGTGTGTTATGCTTGATTGATGCAACCACCCCCCCAAACAAAAACTAAAACCAGTATCCCAGACGTGATAGTATTTCCTCGACAAGTTCAGGCGATTCGGGTACACCCATTGATGGTCCCGATGATGGATCTACGGCAATTCACAGTACCACAGTATATAAGGTTTGTTGCAGCAAAAATAGTTACGTCACTCAACACCCACAAATAGTAAAACTGCAAAAATTAACTATTTTTAAATAATTTATTATTGCATTAACATTTCATGGTTTAAACTAAACTCACTTTTGTGTCGTTTTTAATGGACAATTTGCTAAACGATTTTCTTTTTCCCCCTTAGGAATCTCCATTGTATAAAACATCCGCCTTTAACAATGCCACCGCTACCACCACCACCAGCCCTCACATTGAACAGACCCGCGTCATTTTAGGTGAAAACTCTCCCGGCTATGGCGGCGAAGGTGAAATTGTCTCCACCCAAACTGTGAGCAGCAAAACGCGCACCGTCGAAACGATAACAGTAAGTATGAAGATGGTGGGCAAAAAAGTAACTGGCCGTTTTCAGGAGGAGAATTCGAAACTGATTTTTGATGGATGGTCCTCGGGGCTTAAAATATATATTTTTAATATGAGTGTATCCTGTCTGCTTGTCATGTCCTTGTCTTACGAAATATTTTGTAAATATTGTAAATATTCATCTCATTTATATTGGGATAAGTTGAATCGCATACAATTCATAAAGCCCACGAGGAAAGGGTCTCCCAAGAAAAACCTCATATTTAGATCTCTTTAAAATATATCCTTTAAGTCGTTTAAAATGGAGTATTTACACTTCCCACAGGCAGTCTTTTTTCAACCACATAAAGCAGAGTTTAAGAAGACTACCTGTTGTTAGTCTAAAATATACCCTTTACAGACGCTTAAAAATTCTCTTTAAATCGCTTAAAGTACTCTCTTCTGTCGTATTCTATTAGTTCGATGAAATATACTTCGTTTAGGTTACCTAAAGCGCTTCCCCTAAAATATTTTGCTTAGGAAGTCTATGAATATTCCCAGATTTTCCTTGGATCACGCATGAAAGACTACGCTCATCTTAAAATATTATGTTTTCATTAAGTCGACTCTCCTTAACTAGATCAAAAATATTCCCTTTGAGGTTGTCTATAAATTCTCCATTTGTTTCACTTAAAAAGACTCCCTTTAGGTCGTCTATAAAGACTCCCTTCAGGTCGTCTATACAGACTCCCTTCGAGTCGTCTATAAAGACTCCCTTTGAGTCGTCTATAAAGACTCCCCTCAGCTCGTCTATAAAGACTCCCCTCAGCTCATCTCTAAAGACCCCCTTTATTACGTCGTCCAAAAAATTCCTTTCAGGTCGCTTAAAAAGATTCCCTCTGGGATGCCAAGAATTACTCCCTCTATGTTGTCTAAAGTATGCCCTAAAGTAGCCTTAAAAGATTTCCTATAAGTCGTCTATTAATATTCCGTTTAAGACACCTTCTCCCCTTAATTGGCCCAAAAACAATCGCTTCAAGGTCGTCTAAAAATGCTACTCTTGGGTAAAGAGAGTTCCTTAATCTAAACTGATTTACATCTATTACGCGTCTAAAAATATTCCTCCCAGGTCGCTCAAAAAGATTCCCTTTGGGATGCCAATAAATACTCCCTCTATGTCTAAAGTACGATTTAAGGTAGTCTTAAAAGATTTCCTATAAGTCGGCTGTGAAAATTTCGTTTGACACCTACTCTCCTTTACAGGCCCAAAAAGATTCTCTTTAAGGTCTTCTAAAAATGCTCCATTTAAGTCACTTAAAGAGACCGCTTTAATCTCATCTGATTTACATCCATTACCTCGTCCAAAAAATCTTCCAGGTCGTATGAAAAGATTCTCTTTGAGACGCCAAGAAATATTCCTTCTAAATTGTCTAAAATACGCCTTTAAGTAGCCCTAATAGATTTCCTATAAGTCGGCTATAAATACTCCGCTTGAGACACCTACTCCATTTAATTGACCCAAAAATTTCCGTCAAGATCATCTAAAAATGCTCCACTTGTGTCCCTTAAAGAGGCTCCCTTAATCTCATCTGTTTTACATCTATTACGTCATCCAAAATATTCCTCTCAGGTCGCTGGAAAAGCTTCCCTTTAGGATGCCAAAGAATACTCCCTCTATGTTGACTAAAGTACGTTCTAAAGTAGCATTAATCGAGTCGCCTAGAAATATTACCTCTAGGCTCCAAAAGGGCACCAAAAACGTCACCTCTTTTTCTTTAGTTAGACTAAAAATACTTTCACTAGGTCATATTGAAGTCTCCTAACCCGATAGTCGTAGAAGAATTCATCTAGGTCGCTTAAAATACATATATTTTGGGATTTCTTAAAAAATTGGCTTCAGGTCGATTAAAAAATTATGTCGCGTAAATAAAACCTTAAAGGTTGCCTAAAAATATTTCCACTATATCACCTTAAAGGACTATCTTTATAACATCTAAAATACTTTTTTTAAGTCACCTATAAAGACTCCTTTCAGGTCGCCTTAAAATATTACTATTAGGCCATCTCATCCTTTAGCTCTATTAAAAGACTACTTTGGGATCGCCTTAGAGTATTCCTTTTATGTAATATTATATAGTCTTTTAGGTCCTATAGAAGAATTTCTGCAGGTTGTCTAAAAAATTGTTCTCTAGTCGCCTTAAAAATAACTAATTCAGCAGGCTTAAAACGATTATCTCTAATTCGTATAAAAAAATCTCCTTTAGGACTCCAAAAAAGCTCCCTTTAGTACTCCTAAAAGACTCCGTATAGGTCGCCTAAAAATACTTTCTTCAGGTCGTCATTTAGATCGTATTAAACAACTTTTAGCTCGACAAAAAAAATAACCTTTGTGTTGTATAAAAAATACCCTTGAGTTGGTTTTAAAAGATTAACTGGGCCTAAAATAACCCTTTGGGGCACCCTAAAAAACCCTGTATGTAATATGAAAAGACTTCCTCTATGTCGCCTTAAAGGTTTTCCGTCTAAAAATTCGTTTTTAGGTCGTCTATAAATAAAATATTTTTAGGCCCTTGGATTGCAGGTGGCCTGTGAAAACTTCCATTTAGCCGCCTAAAGAAATGTCCTTTAAATGGACTAATAAACTTCCTTTAGTTCTAGTGCGTGATTGGCTAGCCTTTAATGACTCTCTAAATAGCAGACCATTATCGCTCTTCAGTTCGTCTAAAAATAATATATGCGCACTTCAGATAGTCTATAAACAAGTTGAACCTCTTGCTGGTCTAAATAGGACACCCAAACCCTTTTCAACTTTTCTATAAAGACTATCTGCCCCTCAAAACGTTGTAAAAGTATGTAACCTTAAAATTCTCAGCCCATGGTTTCCAAATCACTTCTAAGCCTAGAATATGGCGGTAAGCAAAAATGCCGGGAAAAGTGAAACATGTACATATGTCGATCCCGAGGGCTCATCCATGAAAAGCTTTTTCTTCAACCAGAAAAAGCATATTCCCAAATTTTCCCAAGAAGGACGCCAAACAAACGATTTTTCGTCTGAGTTTGAAATGTCACATGGAATTGGAAAAATCCAAATTCTAGTCCCCCAGAATGAAAAGGAAGGCCTTTGAATGTGGAATGGTATCTTCGTGGAGCCGGGCTAGAAAAATCTCATTGGACCCCGTCTCCTCAAATGAATTTCTATATGTACAAACTCCCAGCCTATGTAGCACTTCAATAAAAAGCTTCCTTCTTTAAGTCTCCTACAGATACTTCCTTTTCCGGATATAAAAACTGTTTTCAGCTCCTCATCTGGATAACCCGTATTAATAAATTTCTTTTTTTCCTCTTTTCCAGTACAAAACCGAACGAGATGGCATTGTCGAGACCCGAGTGGAACAAAAGATCACCATACAATCCGATGGTGATCCAATCGATCATGACAGAGCCTTAGCTGAAGCAATTCAAGTATGTTATTGATATTCCTTTCCAAATAAATAATAAATTACTAATAAATATGTATTATAATTTTGCAGGAGGCCACAGCTATGAATCCCGACATGACAGTGGAGAAAATTGAAATCCAACAACAAACCCAATAGAAATAGTAACACAATCGTAGAAATTTTAGAATAGATGGAAACAAATGCTTTTTATATAATTATAATAATGATGATGATGAAAAATACTATTATTACGGCCCTCTCTCTCTAATTTTTTATTATTGTTGTTGTACAATGGCAAATATTGTATTATTAACTGAGGCTAAGCGGAAAAATGTCAGGCTTTCAAAGAGAATATGGCTGGATGACCAGCATGAACGGAAAGCTGTATAGAAATGGCCTTTGTTTTAATGCAATTGCATCATTTTCTCCAAACCACACTCCTAAGCCTTCACCGATACACCTTTACCTTTATAAAAATTCACAACCACACCCACATACACTCTCGTACATGCAAAATACCTTGAAATATATATACAAATAATTTAAACAAAAATTAAATATTTAATAACGACATTTTAAAAATAAATACCCATACCCTGAATGCAAACCCTCCCCCCCAAAAAAAAAAAAAAATAAATAAAATATATAATGAATTGTAACCTGTTTGTAATTGATGTATGACAAATATTTTTTTTCTATTTTTTAATATTGATACCTTTTTTTTATTATTTTTATTTAATGTGTTTTTTTTTACATATACATATAAAGAATATTTTTTTATTATTATTATTACGATAATTATTAAATATATACAAGATTTTACCGCATAAGCTTATAAATGTTGAAAAAAAGTAATAAACAAATGAAGAAAAAAGTAAATGAAATAAATAAAATAAAACAGAATTATTTAACATAACCGAAAGATGCAAAATCAAAACAAATTGAATATAAAAAGTAATTACATTTAAATGTTGTTTATAATTATATAATTATTAATAATTAATTTTTTGCGCTATTTCTCTCTATACATATACATACAAAAATACAAATATACAATTTCTCTTATAAAACAAGATTTTGTGTTATTATTATTTTTTTAATTTTTATTTGAAATAAAAAATTTGAATTGATTTGAATGCCAAATGTGGAGGTTAGTTTGCAATTTGGTCTCAAATAATAATTTAATTGTTTATATAAAATTTGAAGGAAAATAATTATTGTAAACCAGAATGAAGTCGCTCATTTGAAAGATTTTGAATTATAATAAAAATGTTTTAAAATTATAAAATTAAAATTTAAATTTTATAAAAAATCAAAATAATACGTTTAGCTGTAACTTATTTGAATTCTTTCCCTTGAATTTTTCGAAACAAGCGACAAATTTTTGAGAGCAAGCCACAAATTCTTTGCATGAAATTTGTCATTCTAGCTGTAACTTAAATGTGAGGTTAAATACAGGGTGAGATAAAAAACTGCAACAAAGTCAAACGCCATAATTTTTACATTTTTTTTTTGTTTTTTTGAATGAAAGCAAAAATGTCGGAAATAGCATCAAATTTTGGAACTAGCTTAGATTTGTTCGAATTGGTCACCTTTGGCACAAATTATGGCCTTCAAACGGCCAATGAAACCAAAGTCACACGCTGCCCGAATGTTGCTCTTTAGGCATTCCCCGCCAACCTTGCTTTCCAAAATACTCCAGACACAATAGTCCAACGGATTGGTATCCGGAGATTTTGGTGGCCTGGAAATGGTGCGCTGGACATGAAGCGAGGACTGGAATAATTTTAATTTAGCTGTCGGACAAGTAGCTTAGAAATGACAGTAGTCTAAAGTTGGTTGCAATTTTTTCATCTCGCCTGTATATATTCTTATACCAATGAAGGCTTACATTGAATTGTCGATTTGTCTATGACGTAATTGAAATACATGAAACAAATGAGGGTACATAGAAAATCTAAACCCCAAAGGAGCCTCCTCCAGCTATTTTGGATTTTTATGGAATCTTTTAAAAATAAAACCGATTATTAGAAGATTTTCACATATGATTTCCGAAATTTTCTTTGATGTTTTTTGAAATAAATTTGTAACCTCCAACAAAGACTTTCCAGTACCTTTTCTTTTTGTTACTTTTTGGTTATTTTTTTTAATAATATTTTTTTGTTTTTATAATAAAACTGCATAAAAAAATACAAGAAGACGTAAACAAATATTAAAAAACAACAACAACATATAAATGACTTAAAATTACAGTTGCGGATAATAAAATTAAAATAATGTCAGGTATTTGGCGGCATTGTAGTAACTGTAGGTATTGAGTATAGATTTAGAAACTGTATATTGAAGATAGTATAAAACAGGTTTTGAAAAGTATCAGTCGGTTGTGCCGACAGATGTATACCCTCAGCCAATTTCCGTTTATTTAAATATATTTTGTGTTAAATGTTTTTTCGTATTTTGCTTATTCAAAATGTTGACCCCCTTGTGCGGTAGCTACCAAAAGGAGTGGACCGATAATTACCATATTCACACCAGATCTTGTGTTGATTAAAATATTGAGATGTGTGAAGTTTAGAGAGAATCGGATACTTATTTCGCTGTTTTATGAGCATTTTGATTATTCAAAATGTGTACCCCTTTGTGGGGGAGGTACCAAAAGGAGTGGTCCGATATCTTTCATCTTTACAACAGAACTCGCGTTGATGAAAATATTGAGATGTCCCAAGCTTGAAAGTAATCCGAGGTTTATCGTCCATTTTTTGAGCATTTTGGTTTTTCAAAATTTTAGCTCCTTTGTGGGGTAGCTACCAGAAGGAGTGGACCGATATCTACCATCTTCACACCAGATCTTGTGTTGATTTAAAAATTGAGATGTTTGAAGTTTAGAAAGAATCGGATACTTATTTCGTAGTTTTGTGTGAGAGGTACCAAAAGGGGTGAACCGATATACTCCATCTTCACGCCAGATCCAGTGTTGGTAGAAATATTGCATATATGTTAAATTCGAAAAGAATCGGATACTTATTTCGGATATTATGAAAATTTTTGTTTATTCGAAATTTTGAAAATTTTTGTGGGGGTAGGTACCAGAAGTAGTGAACCGTTATACTCCATCTTCATACCTGATCTTATGTTAATAGAAATATTAAGATATGCAGAACTTGAAGACAATTTGAGTCTTATTTACCTTTTTATAAGAGTTAAAATTCTCCAAAAAAAATTTATCCGTTGTGGGGTAGGTACCAGAAGGAGTGTTTCGATATACTCCATCTTCCCACCAGATCTGGTGTTGTTAAGAATAATGAGATGTGTCAAGTTTAAAAGTAATCCAATGTTTATTTTGGATTTTATGATCATTTTGATTATTCAAAATTTTGACCTCTTTGTGGAGGAGCTACCAGAAGGGTTGATGCGGAACACTTCATCATCACATCAGATCTTGTATTGATTAAAATATTGAGATGTGCCGAGTTTGAAATTAATTCGATACTTATTTCGCATTCCATGAGAATTTTGGTTATTAAACATTTTTGACCCCTTACTAAGGGAGGTACTTGAAGCGTTGTTCCAAATTGCTCTATCTTCACACCTGATCTTGTGTTGATAGAAATATTAAGATATGCGGAATTTGAAGACAACCGGATTTTCATTTCACATTTTATAGGAGTTGCAATTATTCAAAATTTTGACCCCGTTGTGGGTGAAGTACCAGCAGGGGTGGTCCAATATATCCCACTTCCACACCAGATATTGTGTGGATAGAAATATTGGAATGTGTAACGTTTAGAAAGAATTAGGTGCTTATTTTGGGTTTTATTGGAAATTGTGACTCTTTTGTGGGGGAGGTACCTGAAGGTGTGGACCGATATCTACCATCCTTATAGAAGGTATAGAGTTCGTAGATACATTAAGATGTATGAAATTTGAAGGCAATTGGACTCATATTTAACATTTTATAAGAATTATATTTATTCAAAATGTTGACCCCTTTTGTGGGGGAGGACCTAGAAGGAGTGAGCTGATATTGTCAATTTTTACACCTGACCTAGCACTGATAAAAATATTAAGATATGCAAATTTTGCACAAAATTCGATGCTCCTTTCGACCTTTTGACCTTTTGTGAGAGAGAAGGAGTGAAGCGACATTGTCCATCTCCGAACTAGATTAAAGTTTGATAATAATATTACAATGTGCTAAGTTGTCTGTGCCGTGTATATCGACTCCAAATATCCTGAAACGGGTTTAGTCTAAGATACCTTGGAGAAAAAAATCGTGTTGCAAAATTGTGTGAACTTGGCAACTCCAACAGATCATATTCAGAGAGTTATTCAACATAGGATTAAAAATTTATTTTTATTAATATATAATTTCGAGGCAACAGTCTTTATAAAAAATATATATTTTAACTAGCTGGCCCGGTCCGCGTTGCCGGCCCATACTTTTAGTCTTTAACGCTTAATAAATAAATCACAGATCTGACTTATGTAGGCGGCACAATTTTGATTATAAGTAATGACTCCATTATAATTACTCCAGTTTTGATTTTAAGTAATGACTTGATTATGAGTAATGATTCCATGACTAAATATAAATTAATATTCATGGCAAAAATTATAATTACCGTCGGTTTCAGATACTTTGAATAGCCTGATCTTATTTTTCAGTTGTAGGCTTTAATTTGAGTGTTAAATACCTATATGAACATCTATAATAGCCCCATGTGAAAAGTTAGCTCAATTTTTGGTATTGTAAAAAGCATTCAAATGAGCTATAATTTGAAATTTGTATTTCCAACGTTTAAAATCCCGTACTGCGTGGTATTTAGTTTTGTCCACCTCATACTTGAAGACAGAATGTTGTCAGAATAGCCAAAAAATTAATCTTTTGCTCCGATTACCGTAAGATGGGCATTAATTGTTTGTCATTTAAATTTTGCGGTGGAGATCCAATAAAGTTACTTTATAATTTCGTATTTTGTTGTTTCTGCCACAATTTCCGACTGAATGAGTCCCAGATTGACATTTCGGAGTTTATTTCATATAGACGTACATACCAAATCTACATTCCCAACCAATATTCTCTTGGGGGTTACAAATTCAATAGAATACCAAATTTTCTTTTCTGACCACACATTGGTTGGGAAAGTGGACTTGGGGTATACTAATGTGGGGACTATACTTAAATAAATTCCTATGTGGATAATTATTTGTAAGATGATTTTCTACCCCAGGG